GTAACCCTGTAACCCGAAAACACAAAATACAATGCGTAATTTAAAATGCAGGTAAAAACCTGTGATTTATTTTCTTAGAGTGTAGCATACTGACTACTAATACACTGCTTAAAACTATAATTGTTCAGAATGTGTAGTTTTACTAGTTTACTAGCTAATAACAAGACTTGTAATCGTTCAAAAATGTGCAAGTGTTCAATAATTCAATGTTGTATATAAAAAAAGTTATTTATATTTTAACATTATATTATGCATTTATATTATTTTACGAACAAATCTAAATTAACATAAAAATTTATATTTTTTAATGTAGTAACAATTTTGCGTTGTGATTACGTAATGACGTCATCACGCAATGACATCACAACGTCATTTAGCAACAAATCGAACTTCCTTTAGCAACTTCCCCTGAAAATTAGTTGGCAACACTGGTTCACAGGCTTCTCCGCAAAGGCCACTATGCCGAGCGCGTCGGTGCCGGTGCTCCGGTGTATCTGGCCGCTGTGCTCGAGTACCTCACCGCTGAGATCCTGGAGTTGGCTGGAAACGCCGCTCGGGACAACAAGAAGTCCCGTATCATCCCCCGTCACCTGCAGCTGGCGGTGCGCAACGACGAGGAGCTGAACAAGCTTTTTGGCGGCGTGACCATCGCTCAGGGCGGCGTGCTGCCCAAGAAGACCGAGAAGCCCGCCAAGACCAAGTAAACCGAGAGAAGTTTCTCTTCAAACCAAAGGCTCTTTTAAGAGCCACACATTTTCTCCACGTGAGAGCGATTTTTCATTCAGTTGGTATAGACCATAGTCTTTGATATAAACCCAGTTTGAAGTTTATTTTATTTAAAATTATTTTAATACTGACCCATTTTATTTGAAATCCCGTATTCTCTTCAATTACTTTTATTTCTCTAGTTTAGTGAAAATGTGGTCCTTGGAACAATTTAAGTAACCTTAGCATGCCATATTGCACTTAAATTCTGCAGTGCTAGTTATAATAATTTATGCAGATACTTTTATCCAAAGCGTCTTACAGCGCATTCAGGCTATACATTTTTTGTTACCAGTATGTTAATTTAATGTATTAATAAAAAAAAATCACATAATCTGGCATACAAATTTAAGACCGACTTCGCCTATTCTGTTTTCATACAAAAGTGAACAAGAATGCAGGACATTTAGGCGGGAACCACAAACTGTCGTCTCTTGTTTGAAAACAGGAGACGCACATTCATTGGTCAACTGTCATTTTGAAGCCCCAGACAATAACCAATCAAAAACAACTGACCCTACGCCGTCCAATGAGCGCATGGCAGCTGTAGACTTAAAACAAGCGTTGCGTTCTAGCTTGTCTTATTCTTTGTTTTTGATGTAGTACTTCTGTGAGATAATGGCCAGAACCAAGCAAACCGCCCGTAAGTCCACTGGAGGTAAAGCCCCGAGGAAGCAGCTGGCTACTAAAGCCGCTCGTAAAAGCGCACCCGCTACCGGTGGCGTTAAGAAGCCTCATCGTTACAGGCCCGGAACCGTAGCTTTGAGAGAGATTCGCCGCTATCAGAAGTCCACCATCATGCCCAAAGACATCCAGCTGGCCCGCCGCATCCGCGGAGAGCGCGCTTGAACCTCTGATTACATCAGCCGTACAAACCCCAAAGGCTCTTTTAAGAGCCGCTTTAATATCACCATGAAAGATTATTTCCATTGGTTTACGGTACATGTATAAAGTGTTTATTAACTCACTTGGGTGTGTTTAAGTCAAGATCGTTACAGTTTAATTTGGCTTTAATTGCGTCAATCTGTACTAAAACAATGTAATCGATATGCAATGCGTATAATGAGGGGAAATGTTCTACAGCTATAAAATGAAATCAAAGAAACCAGCTAGTTCATAGTTTAGCAGAGAAGTACAGGCTGTATGTATTCAGTCTACACTCACTGCTTTTATATGGAGAACATCTTGCCTGGCACTGCTGGAGAAGCCCCTGGCCTGTGGAAGCTGTCCTTAAGCATTCCTCTTCTGCTATCTTATCACATTCCTTACTACAAATAAAAAAAAGCCTTTGAATAAGCTTGAACACTTGTGTACATGCTTCATTGTTTTTTTCATGTGGCCGTATATATATTCCTGAGCGAGGGGCGAAAAGGCTGAAGCTTTCTAGATTATTCGACAATTAACCTAAAAGCTGTCAAAATGTTTGTTCGGTTCTGCTAACGGAACTGGATATGCTCGAATTCGTGTTAAGAAGTAGCTTTTTTATTTTATTTTTTATAAAGTTTAATTTTGAATAGTGCGCTGCTGCTCACGTTGCTAAAATGGCCACTCGACGTCACGTGATGCGACAGTATCGATACAGCAGCAGCTGTACCAACAAAAGAGCAATAATATACAAGTGCTTTATTAGTATATTATTATAGTGTTATATTTCAATTTCACAAAGAAAGTACAGTATTTTGTCTAAGCAATAATAAAAGGACACATTTAATTTATAATTTGTCTTAAATCTCATTTTGTAAAAAAAAAAATATTGTGAATCGAATCGTGAAATCAAAACCGTGAATCGAATCGTGAGTTGAGTGAATCGTTACATCCCTACTAACAGCTGTAGTCTATCACAGTTCTTAGCTACATGACATCCTGCTGGATCCACAGGCACAGTCTTAAAGGGATAGCGCACCCAAAAATGACTATTCTGTCGTTAATTACTCAAACTCGTGAGGCTCCACTCTTGTAAGACCTTCGTTCATCTTCTGAACACAAATGAAGATATTTTTTGATGAAATCAGAGAGCTTTCGGTCCTTCTACAGTAGACTAAAGTGCAGCTTACACATTCCAAGCTCAGAGCGGTAACAAAGACATCAGTAAAGTTCTCCATGTGACTCCAGTGGTTTAACCTCAGTTTAATGAAGCGACGCGAGTGCTTTGTTGGAAACGATCGTAGCAGAGTGATTGTAATGAGCCTCATCTGTGGACATGATGTCTGTGAATCACACTACTATGGAGCATGAGCACGAGCAGTAATTAGCTGGCTGCAGTTCACTCGACGGCCACCGCTGTCACTAGTAACCAGGGTTTCTGAACTCTACACAGAGCCTTTAACAGCTACACATCAGCTGTTCATCTGTTCTGCTGACAGTGACAGAGCTGGAGCCGTCCTCTCCAGCAGGACTAGGACAATACAGTTTGCTTAGTTCTGACACGCTGATGAAGAAACGATAAAGAAACACGAAAAAATAAAGCGTGGACATGCTTGATGGTATTGAAGCAAACACAGTCGGCTGTGTCTGAAGTGAACATAAGAAGAGAGAAGAAATATGGATCGATATATTGTCTAGTGTTCGGGTTAAAGAATATGCTGTTTATAAGTTGTTTCAAATGACTTGTATTTGAATGAAATGCATTTGATGAGCAAGCATCTGTAATTTGTAACACAGTACTCTGTGATGTATCTGTGGCTGCAGGCTGCGCTGAGATCTTCAGAGAGAGAGAGCAGAGACCGAAACAGCCCTAACCCAGGACCACATCGCAATCATTCAGTCTCTGCGGGCACAGACGGACTCACAGAACGCTTTCATTCTACCTGAACTTCATCTCTTCTGTTAAATCTCCATTGTCATATCTCCTGACTACCAGAAGAAGAACAAAATTTAATTTAATATTTTTTTCATGTCATTATATTGTTTAGAGCATAAGGACATTTTTTTTTTTTTATTATATTTTCATTCATGTTATTCTATGTGCTCTGTAGAGGACACTCTAAAAAGTCCTGTTTTTAAAATAAATAAAAAGACATGAATAGACATGAAAAGGCAAAAACAGAGTTTTTTAAATCCACAATCCATTTTTATTTTTTATACCAAACTTTGTATAAAAATTATTCACAATTATGTTATGAAGGATATAACAGAATGATTTGATATACCATTTTACTTTATGCAACATGTGCGTAAAATGGCCATAAACGGGTTGCCCCATTATGTACAATGTGTACCGTTTATAATTTGCATATTAATTTATTTTATTTCTTTTTATAATAATGGGAGTAATAATTGGCAAGATTTTCATAATATCTAATATTTCATAGGAATATTGATATATAATTTCTTTCCCTGTGCACTTGTTGTGTCTACCAAAATGTGTAATAAACATGCTTTTAGTCCTTTTTTTTTTTTTTAATAAAAAGACATGAATAGACATGAAAACACAAAAACAGTGGGATTTTTTTTATCACCAATCAATTTTTATTTTTATACCAAACTTTGTATAAAGAAGATTCTCAACTATGTTATGAAAGATATAACAGAATGATTTGTTATACCAGTTTGCTTTATGCAATATGTGTGTGAAATGGTCATAAACGGGTTTTCCCATTTTAAACAATGTATACACTGTATCTTATGTACATATTAATGTGTTTTGGGGGCAACAAGTAATGAAAAAATAAGTGTAATAATTGGCAAGATTTTCATAATATCTAATATTTCATAGGAATATTGATATATAATTTCTTTCCCTATTAACTTGCCTATTAATTTGACTAATATGATGAATTTGATTTAATATGCTTTTAGTCCTGGTGTATGAAATCAATGTCCTGTTTCCTAACAGAAAGTCATATTTCAATTTGAAACCCCATAACATTTTCCTGAGATGTTGATTTATGAGAAACAATTGGAAAATTAGTTGGATTTAAATGATCATTACATAATATATTTCCACAAGGGTGTTGAATTTGATCACTAAATTAACGTCAGTCATTTTTAAAGACCGAGGAGAGGAGAAATATTCCATTCATTCGGAGTCTCTGTACAGGACATCAGACTAACACTGTGACCGGTGAGGTCTCCGAGGAATCACTACAGAGCAGGAGGATAGATTAGTTCTCGTGTATCTTAACTGTGACGTGTCCTCAAAAGCCTGGTGCAACAGTTATGAAAGGTGTGGTGTTTCCAGCAGCAGTGTGAGGTGAGCTGATCTGAAAGAGTGAGTGATCCACACTGCTATCATCCTGAACACGACCCATGCTTCAGATTCATTAGCGTGTGGTTTAGCACAGCCTGTGCTG